CCCAACCGTCTGGTCATGGTGTGATTAGTGAGGACAACGAACACGGATATGAAATGCTGTTTATTCACACGCCGCAGAAGGATTACAATTTGCAGTCATTATGCAGTACTTCTGATGGCCGGTAAAGGGGACATTTTGTAAATTATACACGTTTTGTACAACATCCAGTAGAGACTTGAAATATTTATAACAAATGGCAGGCGTTTTGATACTTATCATTAGCTTTTCAGTTGACTTCAAGCTTCGCAGAGGGGAGGAGAAACATCAAAGTGAGAAGAATTCGGGGTGGGGGAAAACAAGAGTGATTCACAGATATAAAAGAGACAGAAAGGCTCAGAAAGGGTAAGATGGGTACTGTGTAGGGGTCGAATATGATATAGAGTGGGGTGATGGTTGTTTGAAGTGAGAAGTCAACTGCCGGTTAATAGACTTTATTGCTGTATTATTATACGACTTGAAATGAGTTACGTAAATTAAACGCACGTATTTCGCCGCGTGATCGAATCTTTAAAGCAGCAAAATACGCCAACGAAAGTTGGAAATACTAAAGTAAGCCAGTCGTGACCGTAGTGGCACCAAGGCATAAATTGGCCGAGGTGGAATAACCCACTGTGGAAATCGACAAACAGTTCAGTTAGCTTTGGGAGCTAGTTTAAAGACGACGATATTTCGAATAACCTATTAATTATTAGAGTATTGGCATCTAATGCTTCTATAATTCAAGCAAAATGAAGCCTTGAATATCTCGACTTCACTATGTACTAATAACCATCTGCCAATAGAATATTCTGCTATTTTTAACTTCACGAAGGTTATATCCGATTGACTACATGCAGATATTAATTTCAAAAGCCAAGCGGTTTGATAGTTTTTGTTAGCCCTTTGTCTGACTTCCGACTTCACAGAGAGAAGGAACATCAAAGTGAGAAAAATGGAAGAGAGGGGGGGATGAAGGGTGATTCACAGATGTTAAGAGACAGATGAGCACAAATGAAGAGAAAAGGTAAGATGAGTTCTGTTGAAGTGGTCGAATGGGACATACATTGGGGTCATGGCAGTTTGAAGTGAGAAGTCAACTTCCGGTTTATAGATCGTTTATAGATATTACAACTGTGTTACTTATCCATTAAAACTCGTAAAGTTGCCCAATTTGGAACGGATAAATGCAAATGCCAAATACCTGTCTTCTATTGAAATCACAAGAAGTTTGACACACATTGTGCCGTCTTTATTTGAGACTAAAATTTTCCTCGAAAAAATACACGTTCTAAAAATAAATCCCAATTAACCTCCCTTACAACTTCTATGCGAAAAAATTAATGCGTGGCATTTTAAGTCCAAAAGGGCTAAATTTAATAGCCTTATAAAAGTCCGTTAGAAAGCGACAAGAATTCCGTTCTGTATGGGACACTAATGCCTAAGTTTTGCCAATTTCGCCAATGGGATGTAAACTCCAATATTTCAATCGCAAATAGTGAATCAGATGTAAATACGGGAAAATCCATTGTGCCTTTGTGCGATTATAAGCGATTAACGTGGTCAAATTTCTTTATGCTTATTTGAAGTTACACAGTTGCTTGGGGGGGGGGTGGCATTTTGGGAAATATTTCCCTGAACAAGTTGAAGGAAAGCCCAATGGCTGAAATTGATACTCCTATTGCGAAGGAGTGCTGGCTTTGTGATCTAGAACTACTTCTTTCCAAAGTTTTACCACTACCGATACGAAAGCATAATGGATAGTAGGCAAGACGGTGGAGATTTTGGAATAAAAAAACTAGTTTTCGGAGTATACCGGTATGCCTGCAATCCAACTACTTCAATGCAAGACGCTGTAGATCGTTCTGAGTACTGGATGACTTACCGTTCATCCTAACCCTGAACGAATGGATTTGGAATTGAATAATGAGAGAACTGCGAATTCGAATGTGCTGCAATCAAGAATCATTCAGATGCGAATTCCCTCTGAAAATGTAAACATATTCCACCATTAACGTTTGCTTCTTGGATTATGGGATTTTTTCCAATAATAAGAGGTTCGAAGGCATTTAGCTCTGCCGTAGAAAATAAGAAATAATTGCATAAAATTAAAAACCTCGAAAGGGATGGAGGTTGCCTTGGTTCACCGTGTGGACGGTGAATACTAATAGTGCAGATCAGAACTTGAGAGGTTTAAGGGCAAGTTCAGGCATTTAGTACATCAGGTATTTAATAACCTGTGCTAGTTCGACGCTTAAAAGTCATCTTGAGGCAAAATCATTAAGTGGGTACTTCATCTTCACTAAGATCGCAATATTCCTGCTTAGGCGTATCGTGCATAGCCTAAGAGATCAAAGTCAATGTTTATTGATGAATTGATTTTTACATAATAGGTGTCGCCTCACTTATTCGCACAGTATTGGAAGAAATGCGAAAAGCTGATTATAAATGTAACTGACGATAAGGGGCCTAGCCACTAATTTGAAATATGTGCATAAAACAACAAGACGGTTTTTCTTATTTAATTGGCCATGATTATCGAAGAAGCCAGTGAATGGCCCTCAACACACTCTGTAACTCTTAGGCAATCGTTATAGTTGCTCCGCCAATTCGAGATTATCCATTTAAAAAAAACTTCTGTCCTCTTCTAGTGACCTGAATTGAGATGAATCATATACTCTAGGGTGAGATTGAAGCTTTGTAAACAAATAGGACATCTGGAAGTGTCGCTTCGTGCTTCACTCAGGGTGTTAATATTAGCTTTAAAGGCATATAAAACATTGGGACTAATTGTTCTAGCCAAAATATCTTTTTATCCTACTTGAGTTTGCACAAACTTTTTATACCTTAGACGCCGCAGAACTATCCTAAATTTTATTCTCCACCTAGATTACCTCCTCTTCAGCGTACGCATCATGAATTTGCATAAGATTTTCGTGAAAACATAATTTCACAGTCCATTTAAGACGCCTCCAAACACTCATCTTGATTAGAGAGCAACAACATCAATACCTTTCACTCTCCATTAGTGAGACTATGTCAGCGTCGTTGGCCTTTTCATTCAATGAATGGACATTGAACCCGTTGCCTCTGACTTCGCAGACAAACACACTAACCAATAAGCTTCCATTACACTACTTTCCAAAGAATAACGCCACCTTTCTTAATACTTGGACACATTTACTATGCAACTATTATTTAATCGATAAAATAACCCAAGTAACTTATTGAATTAAACGATTTACACAGAATCTTTTTTTCCTGAAAGACCCTAACAAATACAAGGTGAATATAAATCTGTAGACAAAATAAACGGATAGGCTGTTCGCAAATATCCCAAATATAGGGAATGATGAGGGGAGAGACCACAGCGCACAAACAAAGCTGTTAAAGATAATTGGAGGGAGGAAATCAACTAAAGAACTGAGCTTTCACTGTCCGAGATACCAGGAATGAGCGGTTCGAAGATGTCTAATCTCCTCGATTTGACGGTTTCAGATGGCAAAAGTTCGTCCAGTGGTTTCCAACGATTACTCAGGATGGCTAAACATAGGCCCAGATCACGGGGATCACCCCATCCACCATTAGGGTTGGGAATGATTTGAACCACGAAAGGTGATACCGAGAGGGATTTGGGGAAAAGGTTCTGACTCAGACGACTGGATGTCTGGTCCATAACCTTTTTGATGGAGGCTTCTACATCATCGCAATTGCTACCTCTCGAGTGCAGACCGCTAAAAAATTACTTTTCAAGAGTAATGATATAACGTTGTAAGAAAAGTACAATACACGGTTGAAGGCTATCTGAATGTGCTCAATTGTTAACGAAAACAGGAGCCTATCAAAAGGGATAGTGATTGTTAATGCCAATACCACGGCAAAGTAATTGCAATTAAAAAGTCTAACTAGGCAGGTAGGAAACACACTTTACTACCTTTTTATTGAAGGATATCTTATAGATAGATGAGTCAAATTAATTGGCGTAAATATCGGTAAGATTGCGAAAAGTAGAATGATGGACCAAAGCGCATAAGAGTTGTTAGGACAGAAAGAATTAAACAACCTGTCATATGAACTAAAACTTCTCATTAACATGGCATCTGAAGAGAGGCATATCTCTGAATTCTAGCTTCTTCGTTGGCTCATGCTCTTCAAGCCGACAAGATTGTCAACTTAACCTACTTCCAATCCTTCGCTGAGTGAGTACCTGAGTGGAGAGTTTAGTAACAGTAAAGAATAGAATTGTATGCTTGACTTAATGGGTGCGCAATGGACTTACCTCCGCGTGGTGCAACCTGGGCAACGTATACTTATATGGCAAAGTCTATTGATTGGCAGTTGACTTCTGACTTCAAACTTCCATGACCCTACTGTATGTCATATTCGATCACTTCCACCATACTTATCTTACCTTTTCTCTGCCTTTGTGTCTGTCTGTCTCTTTAACATCTTTAAACACTCTTCTGTTCACCCCCCCCCCTAGACATTTTTCGATTTGATGTTCCCCTTCCTCTGTGAAGCCTGAAGTCAACTAAAGGGCTAATGACAACTATCATAAAGCCTGCCATTTGATATAAATAAATGCTTGACTTAATAGTTCTTTTTCCTGGGTTAGATTTAATAGTTTGCCCACTGTGCTCGTCTGTGAGTTGGTGTCGGTGACATTGATAATTACATGATCAGTTGTGGCTAGTAATGCCAAGCCGTTTAAGTTTTGGTAGCTTAGAACCGACGTGTTTCACAATCACTGTCACTTTTTAGAATTTTTATTTTAAAACAGGCTCCCCACAATGCTCTCTTCGTCAATCCTAAGTATATTACAAACCGAAGAACCATATGGCTCTTTTGTTGAACGGAGTAAGTAAAGGCAACCTTATTTTTAACTAACTTTAATCAAATCTAAACATTCGGTTGCTAGATACAACAGTGGTAAGGGCATTTTCAGACTGCACACTCAAAGCAGACGTGACGTATTTTATGTTTATAATTCGTAACCAAGGCAACCATGACTCTTGACATTGGACATCCCTCCTTACTTGGTCACAAAATCACCTTAATGGTGACATGGTAGCAGAAACGAGAGCTCAAGCACTTACCAAGAACCCGTATGAAAAACACGACCACAGTTTTTGAAGTATAGTACACGCAATCTAGGTTTCAAGCAAGTGCGATCAATGAAGGAGAAACTCCAATCCCAATTGTAGTCATCGTAGAGGCAAAATGTCTGATTACAAAAGGCGGGGAATCGGTTAAACAATCACACGAAGAAAGGCAAGACTTTGAAATAAAAGAGGCAAAGCTCACTTTGAAACAGCTCTTCACTCTGTCATAGAGATCTCGTTTAAATGCCATTCCTATATTGTGCTTTGGAGAGGCCCAAGTGGACGTGTATACCTGAATGAAATGGGGAATAAACGTAAAGAGAATAGATACTTATTGACGGATTATTTCGCCTCGCTGTCAGTGATGCTGTAACACAGATACGATTTGCTTTAAAGGTAATAGTACAATTGTCAATTAAGATATTACTCTAGTAGTGGTAGCTCAGACCCAAGTGAAATGAGAAGAACTGTAATTTGATCGATCGCTTCTTTCCATCGTATTAAGAGGGTAACTATGGATAGGAAAATTAAATACTTGGTATCTACAGACTAATTGGTTAAGTAACAACATGGTTGTGAGAATACTTCACTTCTAAGCACTAAAGTACTAAAATCACTTACCCAAACGCCTATAACCTGAGGATAGTCTTAGATCACGGAACTAAACAGGCTCCCATGAGAAGACGGACAATATTTCAGTCTAAACAAAAGATAGCTTAACCAGAGAGCCAGTCACTCCATAATAACAAAAAAATTATGCAACAAAGTTTATTTTTCTAGCCGTAAAATCCTCCTTCTGAATCTGAGCGACTACAGACTTACTCCAAGCTCGGCAAGTACCTCGAACTTTCGTCCAGACAGCCTAAATAATGCAATTGGCTATGAATCACAAACAAATAGCCTATCCTTGTTAATGCAGATAACATGAACAATTAGCTACAGTAACAAAATGGGAATTCAGCTGATGGAATTCCATTGGCTTAGATATTACCCCTAAGCTGTCCAATACCACTATTATAACAACGGTCAATGAGGCTTGGACATTGTAGACTGGTATTTATTGCAGTAGGAAATTGGAAAAAAAAATTGCTCAAACTATTTGGTTAATTGTATAACCCATATCAAAAGTCAAAAGAAGTAGAACAATTGGATTGAATTGTCAGTTGCATTCCCACAATTGCATACATTAGTAAATTACCACTATTTTCAGATAATGATGTTTAAATCATTGCTTCCCTTGCAAAGGACCTACGCTTGTATATACTAATCAAGTGCTCTCAACTTGGATCTGTGAACTTACTACAAATTTGGTATTTGAGAAGATAAGAACGGTTTTAACTTAAAAAAGTACTTCAATCAGGACTTACGTAATCCGGCGAATTGTAACTTTGAGACTTTTCGTAGGACCCCAAGGCAACAATATCAAAACTAAAATTTAAGAAAAAAAATCTATTTTAATTCGTTATTTCTAGTCAATCGTTGTGATAATACAAGATGTTACTTACTGTTAATAACATGTGGTTATAAAGCGCATAAGTTAGTAAGATAGAAGTAAAACACCAGTTCTGACAATAAGCATTAGTTATGGTGAGCAAGAATTCACTTAGGCAATTAAACTTTGGAATATAAAGCTTTAAAGACAAGTAAGCAATAATTTAGCATTCCAATTCGAAGGTAGGATTCTACTCAACTCCCATCCCTCACTTCCTTATTGGTCTATTTTCTAATTCAGTGTGCTTCACGACCAAAAACGTTGACTTTGCCTTCTCTTTAGATGTGATAGTGACGGCCTTAAAATAATTCCCTAACTGAACTATATAAATAATTAGGTTGTCTTATGAGCACTTTATATTGTGAATACCTACCAGATCAGAGCATATAGTAATGAACCTATCCATTGACCATTTAATACTTGAATTATTTTTTGTTTTGAAAAATGCACCCAACAGCATTCATACGTGTCTCACAGCATATTGAAGTCGACGTGATGAGTTTTGGTGGTAACGGGCGAAGGCTATGGACGTATTGAACATGCTTCAAACGGCAATAGCGCCTTCTGTTACGAGTCTTGTTCCAATGGGGCTTATTTTGAAAGAAGGCCATACGGTCCCAAAGGCGATAAACTGTTAGGCAAAAAGACTACAGTAGAAACTGGAAAATCGAATGAAATGGCAGATATCTGCTCTAACCTTTTGCTCGACCTCCTCCTCATCTCTCCAACCACCTCTTGAACTAACAGACAACTCTATTCCCTTGGCCAGATGTTTTATCAAACAATATAGCAATGTTCTCCACAGATTCTTGAACAAGTATATATATAATAGATCAAATGCTCCTTTAAGAACTTATTCCATGTCCAATTTTGAACACTTAGCAAATAATATAAAAGTAAATAAGGCTAGAATTCACATTCCCAGCATAAAACTAAATCAATCGCCTCCGGGCCTTCTGAAATTGCCTTCAATGTTCACATCAGTAGGAATTACTCATGCAACCATTAAATTTCAGTCGTAAAATGGATCTTCGCAAAGGTCATTCGAATTCCTACATATGATGCAACATTCGGTTGTCGAGATGATTGAGTGAATAGAAGCATTAAAGTAAATAGATGCTTATTAGTCTAAATTTGCAGTCGAACCATGATTAGGTATTCATTCTGTTATCTTAATTGTCCAATTAAGTTGGGAGAGCCAATGGAAGTGAATCATCAACATTAATTATGGGCGAAAGATAAGAATCCACTTAAGGTTATTTCTAAAGGCTCCCATGATTGAAAATAGTAATTTGTGAGTTGTCCTGGCTTATAAAAAAGTAAACACCGCGTTGACTTAAGGACAGATTAGTCGGCGCAGTGATTAATGCCTCTAAGTGGCTTCACGAGTTTGAAGCCTACCAGAGCATAGCCATTGGACAGAAAGACCAACCACATTGGTTCGGCTTAATATTGTGAGTAGTAAAAAACTAGCTTTCTTCTGAAAGGAACAATGATGCTACTTAAATACCCATAAGGAGTATTGAAAAATGTACCATTATTTGGTTAAGGGCACGAATATCATACTATTTGACTGTAAATATCAGCCTTGGTGTGGGGAAACAATCCACTTTCTTTGTATGGGCCTTTCAGATTAGATTGCTATAAAGCACTTGCAATTGCTATTCCAAGTCAAAATCGATTTCCCACAGAGATAATGGGATAAATATGGCAATTATTGGATAATAGTAGAGTCAAAATTGGAACAAATCTTTCCTACTCCCAAAGCGTCAATCCTACACTACAGGAATTTCTTTATCCACTTGGAAATCATTGAATTTGAAGGGATATTCGAGTGAAAACCGCATTAACGCCATTCAGGATTGACTTACGATGCGATATGCTGCTCAGTGAGACTGAGTACATGCAACATATCAGGTAGAACGATGTAGTCTTCCTCCAGCAATATGAACCAACCAGGAAAGTTTTGGGATGCGTTAAACTTGTTCATCACGAAGGAGAGCTGCAGGAAGAGAAATACGGAAAATCAATAGTGCTACCTTAGTGTAGTGAACAAACATGACTACCTGTCAGACATGGTGTCATCAGTTCGACACATGTGCTTAGTTAGTCACTGAAACGTTAGACATTGAAGAATGCCTCTGACCGTTATTAGGGAAATACGTTAGATTTCTGCCTTTATGCTATTATGATACCAACATTTACCTATCACGTCAACACAAATTTATCGATTCTTTTTTTCATACCTGTTCAATTACTTATAAAATGTTCTAAACTTATACCCTCATAGTAGATTCTAGCCAAACGACATAATCAAACTCTCTATGTATTTTCATTCACAAACCTATCATTAATCTGTTGGTAGGCTTCTATCACATTCCCCCTCATTTATTCTTCTCCCCCCCATCAAATCCCCGTTATGGTTTACTCACCACACTTGGAGCAACATAAGTCTATGCTGTTAATATCAAGAAGATATAGTTTTAAGTTCTAAAATCGGGATCCATCGGCACGAACTGGTGACCCAGTGAGGATTCTTTCATCCACACAACGATGGGTATAAAACTTAACTCCTTAATTTATGAGAGGTTCAATGATATCGTTTCCTCTCAAGTCAAATATTAGCAACAATCACCTTAAATGCTTTTGGGAGATAATTTCCCTTGACATGTTGGTAGGGAAATTAGTGCGAGGAGGGAGATTTTTGACGATTGATAACAGTCTTCAGCCCAAGATCCTGCTGATATCAGGTTTTATCACCCATACTTTAATAACTCCACGTGGTGCACCATGGGCAACGTGTACTCATACGGCAAAAAAGTCTATAAACCGGCAGTTGATTTCGGACTGCAAAATACCATGACCCCACTGTATGTCATATTCTACCACTTGCAGTGTACTCATCTTGCCTTTTCTCTACCTTTGTGTCTATCTGTCTCTTTTACATCTGTGAATCACTCTTCTGTCCCCCCCCCCCCCCTCGAAGTTTTCTTACTATGATGTTCCTCCCCTCTGTGAAGCCCGAAGTCAGCTAAAGGGATAATTTGAAATAAATAAATAGACTTTTATAACTCCATTAAAGCTGAGGGCACTCAAACTCAAAGAAGAGAAAAGGGGAAAAAGCACCTCGAACGCCCATTTTTATAAAAAAATTAATTTATCTGCATTGATTAGCTACAACTACTAGTAATCTGTTTCCTGACATTTAGACTATAAACCTTAAATGCTAAATAGAAATTGTTACAATGTGCGAATGCCGTCTCAATTGGCGCCCATTAATTTTTTACGTAGCCGAGTCTAAATGGGGTAATGACATAGCCAATTATCTCGACAAACCAATCAAAATTGAGAAAGTTAGAGAGGGGGAGAGGAGGGGGGGGGGCGGTGGGGCTGGCTAAATGGCACAAAGTTGAAAGCCCGTGCTTATAAACTGTGCAAAAAGTGTAGAAGGCGACTTTTAAAAAAGCCAACCGTGAGGGCTTATGTTCGGTTTAAAAATACTAAAGAAAAGAAAAAAAGGGGTCAACGAATGACTAAATGACTAACTTTCCATATCCAGTGATGCTTAACTTGAGTAAAACGGGGATTTCGGAAGTTTCCGGCTATATCCCGCCATTCTTGAGTAAGACAGTCCCGATCTCTAAAGGGAGAGAATGAATATTTTAGATTTAGTCTTGAAAATAACAAATAGTAATAGAATGTTAATTGTCCAAATTTTGAAGTTCCGGATCTTATCACCAATTAGTCATTTTAAAACGCCAGGTATTGCTAGGCATTGGCCGTTTATGGCTGTAAACAATGTCACAATAAGGAATATTCGTTGAAATTAGCCACAACGAATTTTAGAAAAAAATATGAATTTCAAAGTACTCATATGGAATTTATTTTGCTGGCAAAAAAGGAAATGGCATGGCACTAATTGGGAATTTCATTTTAAATGGAATAAAATCAAGCATTTGTTTTCCTTTCAAAGGTTACATCATGTTTTAAATAGTCTTCCGTGCATATAAACCAGCTTGTGTAAAGATAGTGTCGACATGTGCGAAGGTATCAATGAAGGCGACATTTTTCCAGAAATATATTTTGGAAATTTGCGGATCACTCCAAGCATAAACAGAGTAATTGCAAAGTTACTCCATTTAACGAGGCTATAAAATGTAATGCTATTAACAGATTAAGAAAATTTAATACCTTATATTCGAGTTCGACGATAGTGATCGATTAATTCAAACTCAGATGGCTTCAAATGTCGGCCAGAAATTGAAATGTAAATGCCCATGAACGGAATCTCGAGCCTTTAAATAAAATGAAATTAAACGTGCATTTACGATTCCAAATTCAAAGAAAACTTTCCGCACTGCGAACTTTTATCTCACCTCGTTTGAAACAAAACAATGAATGATAATTTCAATTTTCAAGGAAACTTGCCAATCAAGAGAAAAACACTCAAGCATAATACAACAAAACGTCAACACACAGATTCCTCCCTGAGCAAAGAGAAAAGTCAACAGATCAAATCGTCATCCCCTCTTCCGCAAGTTTAACTAAATATCCGTATGTCCAACTTCCATCAATTATATAAAGCTTATAAATGAACGGACCATTATTATCGGAACATTTTTATGAAACGTGTTCGTAAAGAATCCAGAGATGACTGGGAAGGTCATCCACCCTCACTAGTACCACCTATAATCGTACGACTTCAGTCAAGCTTGATGGTCAAGCTCTTCAGTGTTGATTTACTGCTGTTCTAGTTTCTAGGAAAGCACCTGAAACGCCTGCACGGAATGCTGTTGTTAGGGTTAACCAACTTCCTAGCTTTCGAAGGCGTGAGCTGTTACTTGCCAACTGCATATAACTGTCAACTAAAGACTAACTTAAGGAGAAATTCCGCAGTAAAGTTATAAAACACTTTCAGAACCACTCGCTCAACCACATAAGGGAAGGGGAGGTTTACTTTCTACCTTTTAACTACAACCATAACCAACATTAGCTTGAGTTAGAAATGAGAAAAATGTCCGCGTTGATTTTACTCAAGTTGTCCAAAATGTAGCGTCAATATAGCAAAAGCGTCGATAGGAGAGAAGCGCATGTAACATGAGCACTTGCGTTGCATGCGGAAGGCAAAATGAGGCGAAACAATGGGAACAAATAAATGGCAAAGTTGGTTACTCAAATAAGCAGGCTCCATGGAGGTAAAAATCAATAAAAATGAGGCTTTGGGTTAAGAGCAGAGCCGCAACAGCCATCAAGAAAGAAATTAGCCAAAATAGGAATGAGTACGCCGTTCTTTAGTCTTCTTTTAGCACAGTGACTTAGCTCTCCTCTCTCTTTTCCCTTCAATACGTAATGAGCTTGATTATTTCTCCAATCAATTCGTTTTTTTCAAAGCAACTGATGCTAGTGAAATACATATCGGACATTAGGTTAATTGGCTCTACCAGCTAACAGCCAAGCAAAAAAAATAGCGGAATAGAAGCCAAGCCGACACTTGAACTAGTACTTTTATCGAGTGTGCAAGTTATTGTGCTGAAATGGTTCGTGAACTAGGAGATCATTCGAACCTGTCCACCAGTAGATCAAAAACAAGTGCAATTAGCATCTAATTTGCTCCATAGTCAAGTACTAACCGAACAAATGTTCATTTGAAAAGCTTAAAGTGAAACTTGCTTTCCCATCAGTTTAGCATAGGATATTCACGTTTAATTGTCTCTAGGAAACCTGAGCTTATACATATAGAAAGCCAATCAATTACGAGGACCAAAAATATTCGTTAAGAACTTGGCGTCGTAAGTACAGCAGCACGTCAAAGTGATCGCCAGACAAAGTATACAACCTTTTAGCGCAGTCACTTAATTGTCATCCAGTGACCAGCGGAATCCTTGGCTGACATTGATTAACCTAACAGTCTCTACCAACTCCTACTCGTCGATTCCAATCATACATCTGTTGGTTCTCTTCTCCCCAATACCTACGACAAGATCCTCTCCATTTGTAGTTTCATCTACCTTTTAATTGTGGAGTGCTTGCTAACCTCTCTAAGTCTCAATAGAGTACTGTTCTAGTTCCTGCATCTGATACGATGCTCCGATCTCGGGGTGCGCGATAAACTTACCTCCACGTGGTGCACCCTGGGCAACGTA